TATCCCCTGCCCCACAGGTACCCCCAGCCCCACATCCCCCACCCCACGGATGTCCCCAGCCCCACAGCTCCCATCCTGCCTGCCACAATCCCATCTTCCCCCAAAGGGCCGGGGCTCCCACCCACCCAGGACCAACCCTGGGTGCTCAGCCCCACGCAGGATGAGGCTGGCAGTGCCAAACCCCAGCACACCGGGGGCCCTGCCTCAGTTTCCCTCCATCACAGGGGGGAGGGCTGCTGGCTTTGGGGGGCTGGGGGGGTCAGGCTCCCCACCAGGCTTCCCCCATCACCCAGCCAGCTTTAGGGCAGCACTGCTGGGGGAGGAATTGCAGGGCAGCCCACACTGAGTGCAGGACCGCAAGAAAAGGGGATTATTTTTAGCGTGGTTTCTAAGGAAATGAGACTTTAGCAACGGCTCTGTCTGTCGGTCCATCGGCCGCCCTCCTCTTCCTCCCCTCCTCTTCCTCCCCTCACCGGGCGCTCACTGCTCAGCTCCTGCCGACTGTGGTGGCCCCAGAGAGGTGACCATGGGCTGGTGGCTCCGGTCTGGATCACTCAGGGTGGGCATCAAGCCCTTTCTGGGCATCCCAGAGGCTGTGGTAGCCCCAGAGGGGTGACCATGGGCTGGTGGCTCCGGTTTGGGTCACCCAGGGTGGGCACCGAACCATTTCTGGGCATCCTGGTGACTGTGGTGGCCCCAGAGAGGTGACCATGGGCTGGTGGCTCCGGTTTGGGTCACCTAGGGTGGGCACTGACCCGTTTCTGGGCATCCTGGCAACTGCAGTGGCCTCAGAGAGGTGACCATGGGCTGGTGGCTCAGCTCTGGATCACTCAGGGTGGGCATCAAGCCCTTTCTGGGCATCCTGAACCAGCAATGCCCAGAGAGAGAGAGATGTTTATTGGCCAAGGCTGGGATGGGAAAGGACATGGCAGGATCCGTCCACAGCTCCTGGAACTCGTGGGCATCAAGCCCTTTCTGGGCATCCTGGACCAGCAATGTCCAGAGAGAGATGTTTATGGGCCAAGGCTGGGATGGAAAAGGACATGGCAGGATCCATCCACAGCTCCCAGAACTCAGGAGAAGGATGGACACATG